ATGCGGAGGAAAGCAAAGCAGCAGAGAATGGCAAGCAAGCAGAAGGAAAAAGCAGGTGGGGAGGGAAGCAAAGGAAAGCAGGTTGAACCCAGGGGGGAGCAAGCAAGCAGAGTAAGGAAAAAGCAGGTGAAGGAAGAGAGCAGGGAAGCAGGTGAATCCAGGGGAGAGAGTAAGCAGAGAGGGGCAAGCAAGCAGAAGGAAAAGGCAGGTAGAGGAGGAGAGCGAGAGCAGGGAAGCAGGTGAACCCAGGGGAGAGAGTAAGCAGGGGGAGGCAAGGAGCAGAAGGAAAAGCAGGTGAACCCAGGGGAGAGAATAAGCAGGGGGGCAAGCAAGCAGAAGGAAAAAGCAGGTGAAGGAAGAGAGCAGGGAAGCAGGTGAATCCAGGGGAGAGAGCAAGCAAAGGGGGGCAAGCAGGCAGAAGGAAATAGCAGGTAGAGGAGGAGAGCGAGAGCAGGAAAGCAGGTGAACCCAGGGGAGAGAGTAAGTAGGGGGGAGGCAAGCAAGCAGAAGGAAAAAGCAGGTGGAGGAGAAGAGCAGGAAAGCAGGTGAACCCAGAGGAGAGAGCAGGCAGAGGGGGGTAAGCAGGTAGAGGAGGAGAGCAATCAAGCAGGTGGAAGGAAGCAAGCAGAGGGGAGCAATTGAGGAAAGCAAGCAAGCAGTTGGAGGGGAGCAAGTGAGGGAAAATAAGCAGGTAGAGAAGAACAAGTGAGCAGGGGGGAAAAAGTAGGTGAAGGAAATCAAGAAAACAGAAGGGGACAAGCAGGTAGAGAGGACTAAGCAAGCAGGGGGGAGAAAGTCCAGCAGGCGGAGGAGAGCAGGTTACACAGAGGGAAGCAAGCAGGTAGAAGAGAGCAGTCAGACAAAAAAAAAGGAAAGCAAGCAGCCTGAGAAGGGCAAGCAAGCACAGAATAGCAAGCAAGAAGAGTGGGACAAGCTAGCAAGCAGAGAAGACCAAGCAGGTGAGAAAAACAAATAAGCAGAGGGAAGTAAGCAGACGTCGAAGAGCAAGCAAAACAGAAAGCAAAAACTATCAAAAAGCAAAAGAAAGCAATCAAGCAATCGGAAAAAGGTAATGAGAGAAGAAAGCAAAAGCAGGCAGAGGTAAGCAAGCAGTCAGAAGATAGAAAGAAAGCAAAGGAAGGGAATAAAGCAAACGAGAAAAGATAAACAAGGAGGAAAAGATAGCAAGTAAGGAAGAGCGAATGAAAGCAAGTAGGCAAGCAGATGAAAGCAAGCAAACGGAGGAGAACAAGCAAAGAAAGCAGGCAACAGAGGAAAGAGAAGAAAACGAAAATAGAAAATTAGCAAGCAAATAAAAAAAAACAGCAAGCAGAGAAAAACAAAACAAACAAAATCAAGAAAAACAAGCACACGATTGTAGAAAAAAAAATAAACGAAGCAAGCAAAATAACCAAACAAACAAACCCTAAACAAAATAAAGAAAAGAAAAACAAAGAACAAAGTAAAATAAATAAAATAAAAAAGATAAAGTAACCAATTATAGTACGCAAGCAAGCAAGCAAGCAAGCAAACAAGCGAGGGAAAGCACGCAAGCATTATGAAGGCAAAAGCAGAGGAAGTAGAAGCGGCCGGATTTCCTGGGGCCTCAGCGAAGGGTGGGAGGGGGGAAGGGGAGGGGGAAAGGGGAGGGGGGGAGGGTACGGCCGACTGGTATGGCTCGCTCTGCCTCTGCATAAACCCTTTATTTTGCCTTTTTTTTGTTGTTGTTGTTGGTTTTGTTGCATCTATGTTGCTGCTATTACTACGACTTGTACTACTGATGCTGCTATTACTACTACTTGTACTGCTGATGCTGCTATTACTACTACTTGTACTACTGATGCTGCTATTACTACTACTTGTACTGTTGATGCTGCTATTACTACTTGTACCACTGATGCTGATGATAATGATACTATTGATGATGATGATGATAATGATAATGATGAAATTGGTAATACAATAAAATGAAAATAGTAATGAATAACAGTAATGATGATGATGATGATGATAATAACAATAATAATGATAATATAACAACAATAATAATGATAATGATAAAAAATGATAATAATGATAGTAATAACAATAATGTCAATCATAATGATGATGTTGATTATGATAAGAAAAATGATGATAGGAATGATGATAAAAACTGCAACAACAACAGCTTCAATGATAGTGATGATTTTAATAATAATAATAATGGTAACAACAATAATAATAATGATTGTAAAAATAATGATAACAGTAATGAGAATGAGATGATAAGAGAATAATAATAATGATAGTAAAATAATAACAATAACCAGAAGGAGTGATGGAAGAAGACAAGACTTTTTTTTTTCTTTTTTTTTTCTTTTTTTTTAGATAAGAAGAAATAAATTCAGATTCTGGATATAGCAATACCTGGAGACAGAAGGGATAGAGACAAAGAATTAATAATGATAATAATATTAATGATGATGATACTACAACTACTAATGATAGTAAGAACAATAATAATGATGGTAATGATTATGATCATGCTGATAATGATAACAAAACAGAATAATAATAATGATAATGATAACAGCAGCAATAAAAATAAAAAAATATCGTTCTTATTTCACGTTCATGTTAAATTTACAATTACCTCAAAGATAGCGACGATGAAATGAACGAAAAATAAAGAAAAAAAGAGAAAAAAGAACAAAATGAGGAAGAGAGAGAACACGAAGCACCAAAAGAGAGATAAAAGAGAACAAGAAAAAGAAAAGTAACCAACAAGAGCTTAACTAAAGAAAAAGAGAGACCCGTCATGCCGTGCCTGGTGGCGTGACGGCAAAGACCATTTCATCTTTGACTTAAGATCCCTTTTTAATAGGTGTGGGGACGGGAGAGAGGGAGAGAGGGAGGAAGAGAGGAAGGGAGAGGGAATGAGGAGAGAAGGAAGGAGAGGGAGAGAAAGAGAGAAAGGAGAGGGAAGAAGAGAGAAGAGAGAAGGGAAGAAGGTAGAGGATAGAAAGGTAAAAGTAGGGAGAGAGTTAAAGGAGAGAAATATAGAAGAGAAAAAGGGAGAGAGGAAGGGAGAGGGAAATGAGGAAGAGAGAGAAGAGAGAAGAGGGAGGAAGGTAAGAGATAGAAAGGTAAAAGTAGGGAGAGAGTTAAAGGAGAGAAAGATAGAAGAGAAAAAAGGAGAGAACAGTAGAGGGAGGGAGAGGGAAATGAGGTAGAGAGAGAAGGGAGAAGAGGGAGGAAGGTAGAGGATAGAAAGGTAAAAGGAGGGAGAGAGGTAAAGGAGAGAAAGGTAGAGGGAGGACGAGAAGTAGAGGAGAGAAACGTAAAGAAGTGTAGGGAGAGGGAGAGGGAGAGAGATAGAAGAGAGAAAGGGAGAGAAAGGTAGAGGGAGGGAGAGAGGCAGAAAGAAATGAGGGAAGTAAAGAAAGGTAGTGGAAGAAGAAGAGAGGGAGGAAAAAGAAATGAGCGAAAGGAATGAGGGAAAGGAAAGAGAGATTTGCCTTTATTACAGCTGCTACTGGTAATAATAACGATACTAATGATACTGATATAGTTAACTGATAAAGGTAATATCATAGTTGATTTATCAATATTAATACCTATGCTGATGGTGATGATGATGGTGACGCCAGCGATAAAGATTATGGTGATGAAAATAAAAGCAAGATAATGGCCGGATATGATAAGAAATAATAAAGATGATGCCAAATAATGATAAGAAATACTAATACTAAATACACATAAGGATATAAACACAGTCACCAACAACAACAACAGCAACAACAACAATTCCACAACACCCACAAAACAACAACAACAACACACCAACCACAGCACACCACACCACCAACACACATAACTCAACAACAACAAACTCCACCACCACACTAACACACCAACAACAACAACAACAACAACTCCACCACCACCACACCACCAACAACAACACAACTCCACCACCACAATACCACCACACAACACACCAACCACCACCAACAAACAAACTACACCACCAAACCAACAACAACTCCACCGACGAACAACAACAACAACAACAACCCGACGAAAATTCACAAAATCAAGATCACGCGTGACCCTTGACCCGAAAGCAATGACCTCTTCTGGCCTCGATCTGTGGGAGAAGGAAGCAGGTGCAGATGAAGATGAAGACATGATATGATTATTTTGAATTGAAGGTGGATTAGGAGATGGAGGTCATTCCACGTGTGAAGGGAAATGGGGAGTGGATAATGAGGGGGAAGGTCTGAGGGATGGAATGGAGTGGATAGAAGTGCGGGAGATGGAGAGGGTAAGAGGGAGTAGGGAGAGGAGAAGGTAGAGGAGTAGGAAGAGGAGAAGTAAAGAGGGAGTAGGGGAGAAGAGAGAGTAAGAGGGAGTAGAGGAGATGGAGAAGGTAAGAGGGAGTAGGGAGAGGGGAGGGAGAAGAAGAAGGTGAGAGAGAGTAGGGAAGAAGGGGAAGGAGAGAGGAGAGAGGGAGGGGAGAAGAGAGAGGCAGGGGTGGGAGGAGAAGGAGAGAGAGAGAAAGAGAGAGGTGTGAGAGAGTAGGGAAGAAGGGAGAAGAGAGTGAGAGAGGGGAAGGGGAGAAGAGAGAGGCAGGGTGGGAGGGAGAAGGAGAGAGAGAGAAGAGAGAGGGTTGAGAGAGTAGGGAAAGAAGGGAGAGAGAGTGAGGAGGGAAGGGAGAAGAGAGAGGCAGGGGTGGGTTGGAGAAGGAAGAGAAAGAGAGAAAAGAAAGAGAGAGAGGAGGGGGAAATGGGAAAGGAGAGAGAAAAGAGAGAGGCATGGGGTGGGAGGTAGAAAGAGAGAGAAGAGAAAGAGGGGAGAGGGGAAAGGAGAGAAAAAGGGAAGGAGAGAGAGAAAAGAGAGAAAAAATGAAAGAGAAAGAGGGAAGGCTGAGAGTATATCAAAAAGGTACACAGCATCGACCCGGGTCATAAACGAGCCATACACACACTATAAATCTTGCACTATAGTTCTAAACTCATTTAAAGAGAGCTTCCTCTAGCCCTCCCCCCCCCCCCCACCCGAATTTTATTATATAAGACCAAGAAGATTACGAAAAGAACAAAAAAAAAAATGTACATCAAAAATAGAAACCATTACATAAGGTCGTCTATTCATTCATCACAAAAGGAATGATGGGACTTACAGATACACACACTCGCACACGCACATAGATACACACACACTCACATACGCACATAGATACACACACACTCGCACACGCACATAGATACACACGCACTCACATACGCACATAAATACACACATACACTCGCATACGCTCATAGATACACACTCACAAATGTTCATGGATATACACACAGACATACACACTCATGCGCACATAGATATACACGCACTCACAACGTCATGGAATACACACACACATGCGCACATAGATACACGCACTTAATACACACATAAATACACACATACACATAATACGCACTCACATAGCTCATAGATACACACACTCACATACCACATACACATACACACACATAGATACACACACTCACACGCACATAGATACACACACACTCACACACATAGATACACACACACTCACCTACGCAATAGATACACACACACTATATCCTAGATATAGCTCATATACACACGCAAATACGTTCATGGATATACACACACACACACATATCACACAGCACGCACACATTTACACATCACATACGCACATAGATACACATGCACTCACATACGCAATTAATGCACACATAAAACGATCATAGATACACACGCACTCACATACGCTCATAGAGCAGTGCACATAGATACACACGCAGTCACATACGCACATGCATAATGGATTCATGGATATACAAACAGAATACAGCACACATGACATAGATTTACACGACTTACATGCATATAAACACTGATAGATGCTCATAGATACATCGTAATAATTCACGACGCTCATAGCAGGGCACATAGATTACGAAGGAGCACATAGCACATGATACACATCACAGATACAAACAATGCGCACATAGATTTAACGCACTCACATAATAGATAACACGCACATTACGCACATAGAGTTTCTTTTCTAATACAACATGAATCTATAATTCCATCAACAACAGCCATTTTCCCCACGTGAGGAAATGATAAAAAAAAAAAGGATAATGAAAGCATAAAATGATAATGATAATCGTATTCCCGCAACGAAAGAAGGAGGAAGAAGAAACAAAAAAATAAAAAAAAAACCATACCAATTACCGAAAACGAAGCAAAAGAAAAAAAAATTAAAATCCATTACCAAAATTGGGTTCTCGCCGCTCTCTCTTCCCCTTTCACCCTCCCTTCATCCCTTCACCCCCACCCCCTTACCCCTCCTCACCCTCCCCCTTCCTCCTCCTCACCCTCACCCACCCCCTTTCACCCTCACCTCTCCCCTCTACCTCCTCCTTCCCTTCCTTACCCTTCACCCACCTTTCAGCCTCACTCTCACTCTCCCCCTTCCCCTCCACCCCTCCTTCCATCCCCCACCTCTTCACCCCTCCTTCCCCTTCCACACCACCCCTTTCACCCACCACCCCCCTCACCTCTCCATCCCCCCCCCTTCCCTCCACCCCCTTTCACCTCTCCCCCTTCCCCCCCCCCCCCCCTTTCACCCCTCCACCCCCCTTTCACCCCTCACCCCCTTCCTTCCCCTCCACCCCCCCTTTTCACCTTCCACCTCCCCCTTCTCCCTTCACCCCTCTTTCCATCCACCCCCCCCTTTCGCCCCTCCACCCCTCCTTCAGCTCACAGAACTTGTCAAGAGACCCATTATCCAATATTGTAATCGACTGCCGAGTATTTTTTTTTTTTTTTTTTTACTTGTTCCTTGTTCATCTGGGAAGGGGGAGGGGGAGAGGGGGGGGGGTGGAGGGGCCATGGAATAGGGGGAGATGAGAGGACATAAAAGGATAGGGAGGATAGGGAGGGGAGAGAGGGATGGGGGAAGGGAAGGAACAGGTGATGGGAAGATGGATGGGGGGAAGGGGTAAAGGATAAAAATGGGTAGATGAAGAAGGGAGTAAAAATGGGTAAAGGAGGGAGGGGATAGAGGATAGGAAGGGGTAAGGATAGGAGAAAGAAGTTGAGACAGGGGAAAGGAGGAAGTGAGGATCAGTTAAGAGAAGGGGACACGGAAGGATGGGAAGAAATAGGAGATAGAAGGATGCGAATAGGTAGCGGGAGAAGGGAGGATGAGAAGGGGAAGAGGGAGAATAGCGGATAAGAGAGGGAATGGAGAATGGGAAGAGATACAGGGAAGAGAAGAGGATAGGTAGAAGGAGTAAAGGGAGGATGGGAAGGAGTAGAAGGGGGAGGGGGGGGAGGGGGTTGTGAAGGAGAAGCAAATGAGCAAAGAAGGAGATGAGGAGTATGGGGAGGAGGGAGGGGAAGGAGGGGATGGGATAATAGAGAGGAGGAGGAGGGGGAGGGGTAACAGAAAGACGAGGAGGAGGAGAGGGAGAGATGAGGGTTTGAGGGAAGGAGAGGAGAGGGGGATGGTGAGAGATAGGGCAGAGGGGAAGAGAGAGAGAGAGAGAGAGAGAGAGAGAGAGAGAGAGAAGAGAGAGAGAGAGAGAGAGAGAGAGAGAGAGAGAGAGAGAGAGAGAGAGAGAGAGAGAGAAAGAAATGAAAGACAGACAGACAGGAAGACAGACAGACAGAAAAAAAGAGAGAAGCAGATTGAAAGAAAGTGGGAAGAGAAAGGGAGACAGACAGACAAAAACAGGCAGAAAGAAAGAAAGAGAAAAAAAAAGCGACACAGACACAGACATACAGAGAGACAGACAGACATGCAGACACAGAGAGAGAGAGAGAGAGAGAGAGAGAGAGAGAGAGAGAGAGAGAGAGAGAGAGAGAGAGAGAGAGAGAGAGAGAGAGAGAGAGAGAGAGAGAGAGAGAGAGAGAGAGAGAGAGAGAGAGGGAGAGAGAGAGAGAAGAGAGAGAGAGAGAGAGAGAGAGAGAGAGAGAGAGAGAGAGAGACAGAGAGAGAGAGAGACAGAGCAGTGAGAGTGAGAAGACAGACAGAGAGAGAGTGTGGGAGAGAGAAAAGAGAGAGACAGACAGACAGACACAGAGACAGAGACAGACAGACAGACAGACAGCAGACGCTTATGACAGCAGCAGCTCCGGCCATTGTGAGGAACTTTGTCGTCTTGGAGAGTTATGTGTAGCCTGAGGGTCAAGAAGAGCTGTTTCTGTTGGCTTGTTCTTCTGTGTCTTGTTTTATTCCATTTCTCTTTCTTGTGTATTTCTCTTTTCCTATTCTTTGTATCTTTCGGTCTGTTGTTTTTTGGTCTACTTCTGTTTTCGTTATTTCTTTTTTTACCTCCGCTTCATTCATTCTCTCCATTCTCTTTCATTATTCCTTATCAGTTCCCTACATTTCTGTAATTTCTTTAAAAATAAGTAAATAAATAAATAAAAAATATTCTACTACTATTCTTTCTTTTCTATTTCTGCTTCTTGAGGGGGGGACTCCCATTTTTATGTCATCTCTTTTTCTCTCTATTTCATTTTCTTTTCTCTTTCTTTGTCTATTTCCATTCCTTACTCTCTATCTATTTCTCTATATGGTTATCTGTCTATCTGATTATCTATTTAGATGTTTATCTGCCTATTCATTTGTCTATTTATATATCTATTCTTCTATCTATCTATCTATCTTATATCTCTCTCTCTATCTATCTCTCAGTCTCCCAGTCTCTCAGTCTCTCTCTGTCTATACTCCTCTCTCTTTCTCTCTCTCTCTCTCTCTCTCTCTCTCTCTCTCTCTCTCTCTCTCTCTCTCTCTCTCTCTCTCTCTCTCTTCCTCTCTCTTCCTCTCTCTCTCCTCTCTCCTCTCATTGGTGTACAAATAATGCAGATTTTTCGATACTTTTCAACTCCCTTTCATAGTTATTTCCCTCCTCCGCCCGTCCGTAATTCTTTAAGACTGACACTTGCTTCAATCCGCACAGAGCGTGCTTAGCGAGGGCGCAAGAGGTCAACACACATGGCATTAGGAGGCAGCAACAGCCTTTGTCTCGCAGCACAATGGCATCTTGGCAGCCAGTGAAATGGACCTCCATGCTGGCCATGTTTTCTTCGCGTCCCTTAATTACTCACGCAGGCATATTTTTTCTTGCTTTTCAGATTACTTCCTCGGCTGCCATGACGGTGGCGGAGGAGAGGCCACGAGCGCGAGGAGCCGCCACAGAAGCCGCCTCTCGCCAGGACGCAGCGTGCTAGTGCCGTGGGCGACGGAGCGAAGGACGGCGAGGCGAGGCGAGGCGGACGCGGACCTCCTCGACGCCCACTGACTCGAGCTCAGAGCTTCGAACGAGACCCGAGCCCGGAGACGGAGCGCGTCGGTCGGGGTCGAGGCGGAGGACGTTTTCGGGCGCCTCCCGGGACGCGGCGCGAGCGTGCTGGGGCGCGAAGGTGATGGTGAGGGCGGAGCGTCTGCTGCGAACTTCGACGTCGTGATCAGACTCATGAGCAAGTTGTGATAGTCAGCCCGCTCGACCGCGACGCCATGACGGTCCAGGTCAACACGTACTTCCGGCTGGCGCTGGTGCTGACCGCCGTGCTGGGCCTGTGCGCCGCCACCGACCTGCACAACAGCCTCATCAACTCCTCCACGCTCGAGGTGAACGAACCCCGCAGGGAAGACAAGGGCCGCAAGGTGAAGACGGCCCGGACGAAGGACGCGCTCGTCGTGCAGACCAAGACGGGCCTCGTGAGGGGCTTCAGGGAGAAGGTGCTCGGCGAGTACGTGGACGTGTTCCTGGGCATCCCGTTCGCCAAGCCGCCCCTGGGAGACCTGCGCTTCAAGAAGCCCGTTCCCATCGACCCCTGGCAGGGCATCTTTGACGCCACGACTCTGCCCAAATCCTGCATCCAGGAGGCGTACGCCTCGTTCCCCGGGTTCGAGGGCGAGGAGATGTGGAACCCTAACACCGAGCTCTCCGAGGACTGCCTCTACCTGAACCTGTGGGTGCCCGCCAGCCTGCGCGAGCCGGGGGCGAAGCCGGCGGAGGTGCTGGTGTGGATCTACGGCGGCGGGTACATGGCCGGGACGTCCACCCTCGAGGTGTACGACGGCGACCTCATGGCCGTCGCCAACAACTTCATCGTGGCCTCCATGCAGTACCGCGTCGGGGCCTTCGGATACATCTACCTGGACATCGACGAGGCCCCGGGCAACCAGGGCATGTACGACCAGGCCCTCGCCATGAAGTGGATCAAGGACAACGCCCCCTACTTCGGCGGGAACCCCGAGCGCATAACCCTCTTCGGCGAGTCGGCCGGCGCCAGCTCCGCCGCCTTCCACCTGCTGTCGCCCGTGTCCATCGACCTGTTCGACAAGGTGATCCTGCAGTCGGGCGTCCCGAACAACCCCTGGGCCATCATGTCCGCCGACAAGGCCTACGACATCGCCCTCAAGCTCGTCGACGACTGCAAGTGCAACTCCTCGCTGGTGGCCGAGGAGCCCTCGCGCGTGATGGAGTGCATGAGGCGAGTGGACGCCGCCACCATCTCCATCGAGCAGTGGAACAGCTACGGCGGCATCCTGCAGTTCCCGTCGACGCCCATCGTGGACGGCGCCTTCCTGCCCGACGACCCCATGGAGATGATCCAGAGGGGCGAGTGCAAGAAGACCGAGGTGCTCCTCGGCTCCAACAAGGACGAAGGTAAAGCCTATCTCTTGTCTCTCTCATACGCTCTCGATTTATCTATGTATCTCTCTCTCTTTACTCTCTCTCTCTCTCTCTCTCTCTCTCTCCTCTCTCTCTCTCTCTCTCTCTCTCTCTCTCTCTCTCTCTCTCTCTCTCTCTCTCTTCTCTCTCTCTCTCTCTCTCTCTGATCTTTCTGTCTGTCTGTTTGTCTCTGTATCTCTGCAATGAAAAAGAAGAATCACAAAGTAACAGCTAGAACTCCTCAAGCACACAAACACACGAAAATTAGTAAATAAGTTAATTAATATATGTTGGTTGTGTGTAAGTTTTTTTTACATAGGCAAAAAGAGAGAGACAGAGATTCATGTCTGTGTCGTGTGTGTGTATCTGTGTGTGTGTGTGTGTGTGTGTGTGTATCTATTTCGTTATTATGCATTATTCTATTTATTTATAGATATTTATATATAGATATAGATACAGATATAGATATATACGATCAGCAACTAATCGACACAATCAATCTCTCATATCGCATTTCCCTAACACCCTCACCCCCCTCTTTCCCTCTCCCTCTCTCCTCCCTCCCTCTCTCCCCCCTCCTTTCCCCTCCCCCTCTCCCCCTCCACCCTCCTTCCTCCCTCTCCTCTCCCTTCCCCCTCCCTCTCCCTTCCATCCCTCCTCACTCCCCTCCTCCTCTCCCTCCCCTCTCTCCTCCCTCCTCCCTTTCTCCTCCTCTCCCCTCCCTCCCTCCCTCCTCCTCTCCCCTCCAACCCTCCCCTCCCTCCTCTCCTCTCCCACCCACCCTCCCTCCCCCTCCCCTCCCATCCTCCTCTCCCCTCCCCAAACCCCCCTCCCTCCCCTCCTCCTCCCTCCCCCCCTCCCTCCCCCCTCCCTCCTTTTCTCCCTCCCCTCTCCTCCCCCTCCTCCTCCTCCCTCTCCCCTCCCCTCCTCCCTCCTCCCTCCCCTCCTCCCTCCCCTCCCCCCTCCACCTCCAATCCCTCCTCCCCTCTCCCTTCCGACATTCGGAGGTTATTAACGAGTCTGATATTTTATCGCCCTTATCCGATCAGGGTTATGCTCGAATTTCATATCCGTCGCTGATTGAATTACGGGCTGATACATAGGCCTATTTATATGTTAATTTGCGCTCTACATGTGTTGAGAACCAATCACCACTGCGGTATATTTCTCGCCATCTCTAAATAGTTATCTGTGTTTTTTTTTTTTTTTTTTTTTTTTTTTTTTTGTCGTCGTTATCTCGTTCTCTCTTTCGCTTTCTCTGTATTTCTCTGGTTTTCGTTCTCTCTCTCTAGCTCTCTGTGTGGCTGTCTATACATTTCTCTCTCTCTATCTATCTATCTGTCTCTCTCTCTCTCTCTTTGTTCTTTCTGTCTCTACTTATATCTATCTCTATCAGTCTATCTATCTGTATATATAGTCCTCTATCTATCTATTTATCCAAACCTAACAAACCCACCTCCTAGCATCACCACCTCCTGCATCCTACCACCTTTAGGCCACCTCACCACACCATCCACCTCACCCACCACCGTGGACCGCACCACCTGCAACCCACCACCACTTTAGCCCACCTGTACGCACCACCCACCAGCTGCACCCACCACCTCACCCTGGACCAGCGTCGCCACTGCCACCTACTCCACCTTTACCCACCCCTGCATTCCACCTCACCACCTGGACCCAAGCCTTGCACCTACCGTACTTTACCCCACCACCCTTTATACCACGATCACCCACCACCTGCACCCACCACCTTACCCACCTGCACCCACACCA